TGTCCATATACTCTCCGAATGAAGATACTCTGATGAAAACCATGGGCGGAACTATGGGAAATTTTCGTGGGGGCAGAAGGGCACCCTAGGGGTAGAGAGAGATCATGGAAGATCATGGATGCCTAACAGACCATTGTGCATGATATCATGACAAAAAAACTTAAGTAGTTTGGTCATGTTGAGAGAATGGCAGGGGACAAGTTGCCGAAGAAGGTCCAAGAATGGGTTCTTCCTGGGAGAGGGAGGATAGGGCGCCAAATGAGAGCAAAAAAAATAGAAAATAAAAAATTATAATAAAATTATCCCTTTCTCAACATCATTGCGTTGAGCTGACAATGAGTATGACACCGACCGCTATGTCACTGATGCTTACATTTATGTGCCGCGTTTCTGTTTTTTTTTCAGTTTGATCTGATGTGCGACAACAATAGATGGAAATTGACGCTCGTAGGAACAGTGAACAACATCGGGCAGTTTGTCGGTCTCCCAATAGGCGGAATGATATCGGACGCGTAAGTCAACTCAATTAAATTGTCGCCACGTCTCTAAACCTAAAGTATCATCCGCACATTAGCAAATAATGACACGCCCCGCCGATCCAGTTTTTCGGCATTTTACGAGCCTAACATAATTTTCCGTTGAACGAATTTGTAGCTCTCGAAGTCACCAATCGGACGTATTTTTGCTAAACGGAACCAAGCGCCAATTTCAGTTCCTTCCGAGGATTTTAGAATCCCGGATAACGAGCTCCGTCAAACGGAACTAACAGTGAGCGCCATAGAAAAGCATTGTGAGCTTGGGACGGAATGAGCTCGTGGCAGCAACCGCCGCCCCCTCCCTTCTTCCCCCTATGCCGCTTAGTTCTATTGAGCAGAAATACGTCCAATTTATCCACCTGCTGTCTACGTCTGCCAGTCTCTCCCATAGCTCCAAAAAAGAGTTCGAAAAATTCCCCTGGAAAATTTTATAAAATTGAATAGTCTGCGGCGATTTTGAGCTGTCCACGACGAAAAATTGGACTACATTTTGCAATTTGGAACTATAAATTCTAGCTCGATTCGAAAACAACATATGTGCCATTATTTTCCCTATGAACATAAGTGTTTTTCCAGAGGAGCCTGAATTTATAGTTCCAAATTGCAAAATGCAGTCCAATTGATCCAATTCAAATTTCCATGATGATAGATGTGTCATGCACTTACTTAGCAAAATTCCTCCCATTTTTTGGAGAGGGCCAAGTAGATGGGGGGGGGTGTCAAGCAGGTCCCCTTCGGCCCCCCTATTTCTGCCAATGGACATCTGAAGGAATTTGGTACTTCGGTTGACGCCTTAAGAGATTCAACCGAAGTACCGAGGTACTACAGATGTATGACCGAAACATGAACTTTTGGCAGCTGTACCATGGACCAATAGAATAAATAAGGACTCCCAACTCCCTATGCTACCCTGTGTTAAAAACCGTTAACGCGCGCTCGCAGCGAACCTGGCAGAGGGTGCGGTGAACTAACGCCGCAGCGGTCCACGATCGTACCTCTATAGTATGTTATTCCATGCAATGTTCTTTCTTTATCTATGATTTATTTATTTGTGTAGATACCTTAATACATTTTACTTTCGCAAACTAATGAAATTGTATAGATACATACCTTCGGCAGAGGTCAATGCGAAAGACTTTGATTTGAAGTATCTTATCAAAACACGAGCAAAGATGATTCAGTCAACTTCTGACGCAGAATCAAAGAGACTTGCTAATAATCAAATTAAAGGTAATGCTTGAAGTCAAGTATCTTTGATTTTGTGACACTCAGTTGATTTTTATCAGTACAACACTATTTCTCA